TATATAGCATCTATATATATATATTTATCACATACTTGTACCTTTATCAGGTAGGAAGCAGCGGGACATAAAAACGATATCGTCCCGGATATCGTTTTTTGTCCCGGATATCGTTTTTTGTCCCGGATATCGTTTTTTGTCCCGCTAAATTTCGCGCCTTGTCAAAACAAAGATGGCCGACTCGAGGTTCGTGTTGGTTGATGTCGACAGTTTATCGAAAAAAACAAGAACGATAATACAAAACGAAAGACTTAAATTGTATATTATTTATATGAATGGTCTATTTATTTTCTAAAATCATATTTGTTCAGTAAATGATGAATTGTTTTGAATTCTAAAATGATCCTATTTTTTCAAAACTGTTTAATTTTGGGTGTCAAACCCTGATAAAGGTACAAGTATATAATAAATAGGTTATCGTACTCGGGATTCGGTGATATCAGTTTTATCGCTCTCGGGACGATATCACAATTGTCCCTCGCTCGCTGCGCTCGCTCGTGACAATTGTGATATCATCCCTCGAGCGATAAAACTGATATCACCTCATCCCTTATATGATAACCTATATATATATATATATATATATATATATATATATATATATATATATATATATATATATATATATATATATATATATATATATATATATATATATATAGCTTAAGATTTTGGTTTACGAAACACAAACAGTGCTCAATACCATATAGATAGAGCGTAATATAGTTTTTCGTTTTACCTCAAAGAACCACAACAGTCTGTTTCATCCGTATAGGAAACAGACTGTTGTGGTTCTTTGAGATAAAACGAAAAACTATATATATATATATATATATATATATATATATATATATATATATATATATATATATATATATATATATATATATATATATATATATATACAGGGGTGGATCCAAACTAGTGCCACTAGTTTCCGGAAACTAGTCAAATTTTTCCAAACTTGTGAATTTATGTGTTTTTCTTCAAGTAATTAACAAATCGTTAATAAAATTTTCAGTAATTTTGACCATATTTTTTTTATATAATAATTTGGCGAAATCAGCCATTTTTGTTTATATACGGTATTTTTCACCGGAAGAGGGACCCTAGGAAACGCAAATCCGGGTTAAAATGCCTGTGCAATCCAGTGATCTATACAGATCAGCGATGCAACGAAATGCGTGGAATTTAGTGCCTTTGCGTGTGTGCACCAGTTCAATTTGCGTGGAAATTTTCCACGGAAACTAGTTAAGATCACATATCATTGGCCAACTGCAGATCAAATTATTTGTGCACTAGTCAAGACGTGCTGTCATTGGCTAGAGGCTGTTAATTAAATCCACGGAAACTACTCAGGCACTAGTCAAAAGTTATAAATACGATCGAACATTCCGTGGTGCTTTGCAGTGTTTGCGTGAAATGCTAATATGGCAACTTTCGCTATACCTCGTGGCGAACCTTTAGTTCCAAAGGAAGATTGTTCTCCTTTTGACATAGGGTTCGTTTATTCTACAATTTCCAAGGCTTCTCCGGCAGAGAAGTTTCGCTTCATCAACAATGTTTGGAAGCCTTCTTTGAATTATAGTTTTCCTGCATCGGTTGAAGCCGCAGGAAAGCTACGAAAGTGTAGACACGAGTGGTTAGTTCGATTCACATGGCTTGTGTATTCAAGGTATCTCGATGGCATCTTCTGTCTTCCATGCTGTTGTTTTGGAATACAATATGGCAAAAACGCAGCGAGGCTACAGAAGCTTTTCCGATCGCCGCTTACTTTCTGGACAACGGCTGTAACGCGACTCCAAAATCACTCATCCGGCAAGTGTGAAACACACAGCTTCTCTGTGGTGGCCATGGCAAACTTCATGGATGTGATGACGAGACGCACTGTGGCGATTGACGAGCAGTTAAACCAGATTACTTTTCGGCAGATCCAACCGAATCGTGAAAAGATGAGGTCTATTATTAAGACCGTAGTGTTTTGTGGTCAGAATGCAGTGGCTTTACGTGGTGCAAGAGATGACAATCCTGACGACGAAACTCTTCAGGGCAATTTCCATGCTTTGTTGGCTTTTCGTGTTGATAGTGGAGACAAGACGCTGCAAGAACACTTTGAGAATGCCCCTCGAAATGCTACCTACCGTTCAAAAACAATCCAGAACGAGATTATTAACACTGTTGGCAGTTACATTACTTCAAAAATATCTGCAGAAATTAAAGAAAGCAAGCTGTTTTCAGTGTTGGCAGACGAGGCAGCTGATATATCCAACAAAGAGCAGCTTTCTTTAGTCCTACGATTTGTCGATTCAAGTCAGCAGATTCGAGAGGAGTTTGTTGGTTTCTACCATTGTGAAGATGGAACCAGTGGAGTGGCATTGAAAGAGATGATTCTGAAGGCTGTAGCTGACCTTGGTTTACCAATGGCTAACTGCAGAGGTCAATCCTATGATGGTGCTGGCAATATGGCGGGAAAGTACAATGGTGTTTCGTCACTTATCCAAGGTCAGTTTAGCAAAGCTTTATATGTTCATTGCATGAACCACTGCCTCAATCTCTGTGTTGCCGATACTTGCTCTGAATATTTAGTTAAAGACATGATGTCTGTTGTAAGGAGTCTTTCCTCTTTCTTCTCTGGCTCTCCTAAACGGCAACATCATTTAAAAGAGAAGGTTAAGTCTTTATTGCCTGCTTCCAAGCATGAAGTTTTAATTAATGTTTGTGAGACCAGGTGGATTGCTCGCCTTGATGGCTTGGATAGAATTGTTGAGCTCCTTCTCCCAGTTGTATGTACGATAGAAGATATTGCACACAATAGGAAAGGGGAGGACGAAGAATCTGATTCTGGTGATTGGAATCAAAATAGCAAAGCAGCTGCTAAAAAGATGCTGCCCTCTATAACTTTTCAATTTGTTGTTACTTTGGTCATAGTTAGATATATATTAGACTTAACTAGACCTGCAACTGTAAAGCTGCAAAGAAAAGAAATGGACCTTTGAAGGCTCATTCAGAAATTTCATCTTTGAAGAAAAATCTTCAAGACTTGAGGTCCAACATTGATAGAGAACACCATAAACTCTATCAGGAGGCAGTGGAACTTGCAGCTACAATTGGGCTTGACCCCTGTAAGCCTAGAATTATTCCAGTGCAAGCACATAGAAATAATAATCCATCAGATTCTATTGAAGGGCATTATAGAGTTAATCTTTCTGTTGTTTTTCTTGATCATGCTTTAAATCAACTTGAAACTAGGTTCCCTCCTGAAGCCTATACATGTTACAGTGGGTTTTCTATAGTTCCCACTGTTATGTTGGCAAACCCATCCACATGGAAAAATTCTGTTACACTATTTTGCCAACATTATTCTAGTGACATCCCAAATGTCATTGGTTTGCCTGCCGAATTAACTTTATGGCAAAGAAGATGGAAAGATAAGGTTGAGGAAGTTGGTATAGACAAACTTCCTGACAGGGTATCCAAAACACTAATATCTGTAGACCCTGTAGCTTTTCCAAATATTTTTACTGTATTAAAGATATTGGCAACTATTCCTGTCACCTCCTGTAGCTGTGAAAGGTCAATTTCATCTCTCAGACTTCTTAAGAACTATTTAAGGAACACTACAGGCCAGGAAAGACTAAATGGTTTGACCCTAATGCATGCACATAAGGCAATTTCTCTGGATTATGAACAGATCATTGATCTGTTTGCTACCCTTCATCCAAGAAGAATGAGAATGGTGCATATTTTATGTAGTGATGACTAAATTGACTAATTATTCATGACTATATGACATGTTAATTTATGTACAAATGTGCATGATTAATTGAATATTAAATGCACATACAGTATATATTTGATCAAATGCATACAGCCATAAAGAACAATATTAAGCTAGCAA